CCCAGTGAGGGGCTGGGGTGTGGCTCAGTGGTAGAGCCCCTGCCTAGTATGTGTCAGCCCTAGAGTTCAAGTGTCGGTACTGCAAAACAAAATACATAAAAATCTTAAAAAATAAAAAATGTAAAGCTCTGCCAGCTCCCTTTAGCCCAGGGCAGAGGCGCTGATGTCATGGCCCTGACCCATGGTGACACATCACATCCTGGTGACTTCTGTAGTTCCCTTCAGTGGGGCTCCTCATCCTGAGGCCTGTGTGGCCTCATGTGGATGCCAAGTCAGGGTTCCTACGCTGCTCCCATGTGTGCAGCCCCCTAGGGCCCCAAACCACACTCAGAGCAAACCTCAGATCTCCTCTGACCCACAGAGAAGGCCCAGGCCCTGGCCACTCCCACTGAGGGCCATGTGTGCCCTCTGTGTGACCTCCTCAGCAGACACTCCTTTCTCCTGCCTAGTCTGGGGCAGGAGAACGTCTATGTCCACGCTTCTGGGAATCCAGTTTCGCAGGCTTGGAAGGAAAAGACCAAAGTCCTCTCTCCACCAATCCTCTGCATCTGCTTCAAGACACTACTCCATCCAGCCAGGCCCCTCAACTGGATGTCCTGCCCAGCACTCTGCAGCCCCAGGGCCTTTGCCATGCAGTCACTCCACCCAGGATGATTTCCTGTGAGCATCCTCAGACCTATCAACAAGGCCTCCGTGCACCCTAGCCTCATCTCCTTAAACACAAATTCCCCTCTCACGCCCAGTGCTAGCAGAGCCGTGTTCCAGCTCTCCTGGCCTCTGCCACCCATGGCTGTGAGTCCCGGCAATGGGGACCCCTGGATATCTCAGTGGGAGGCCCACTCCACCTGAGGAACTCAGTCTTTCGTGCATGTGTATGTGCGTGTGCATGTATGTACAGATACATGTACACACAGGTGGAAGCCAGATGTCAAGGACAGATGTTTTCCTCAGTTACTCTCTACCTTACTTTTTTTTTTTAACATGCATGGGGGGTGCACACATGTTCACATGTGTGTGTGTGTACATGTCATGCAGTGCGTGTGTGCTGTGCACCTATGCATGCAGAGGCCAGAAGTTGGCATTCTTGTCTTTATTTACTGATCACCTTCCACCTCGTGCATTGGTTTGGATCTCTCACTTGAACCCAAGGTTAGCCAACCGGCTGGTCTGGCTAGCCAGCTTGCTCTCGAGCGCCCCTGTCTCCAACTCCCATGCGCTGGCATGACAGGATAGCTGCCCCACTCATCTGGGAGTGACATGGGTGCTGGGGATCTGAACTTAGGCCGCCATGCTTGCTCCACCAGCAGCTACTCACTGAGCCATGTCCCAGCCCTTGGTGCTGGGACGAAGGCCACCATGCTTGGCCCAGGACTGTCTTTAACTGTATTTCATGAGAACTAAGTAGCAGAGGCTACCCTGCCCGGGCAGACAAATCATCTCATGTCTACTGATTCAGTTCTCCCAAGAGATGCCTGTGTCAGGGGCCCATGCAGACCCCGCTCGGCTCAGAGTAAGGACATATAGGTGTCAGTTCAAGGGACAGTCGTGTATATTTGGTAGTAGGGAGAGTTAGGCTGGCACAGGGAAGGGCTTCACAATGGAAGTACAGACTAGGTCTGAAACCAAGGGACCAAGGGGGGTGGTCTCCAAGGGAGACCAGGGAGTGGTCTTATCCACCCCCAAGACCACCAGGACTCACTCTCCCACAACCTCCTGGGGCCGTGCTCTGCCCTGAGTGGATCAGCTAAGCTGTAGACAGGCAAGGAGGTTGGCTGCCACAGGATCCAAGATCAGAAGTCGCTCTCAGAACTCAGGTTGCCCAGCTTGGGACTGGCTAAATCCCCAGAATGGGACCCCCGGATAGCCCAGGGGAAGGCTCACTCCACTGAGGTGCAGAGGTCCTTCAGACATAAAGAGGGTCTGAGGCAGAGGACTCAGAGGACGGGGCGGTGAGCACCAGCCGTCCAACTCACCAGCTTGTTGTTCTCGTAAATGTTTTCCTTCCGGAGGGCATTGAAGTTTCTGAAAGATAAAAATACTGTGTCATCATCAACAACAACAACAACAGCCTGTTGGTGGTGGCACTCAGGAGGCAGAGGCAGGTGGATCTCTGAGTTTGAGACCAGCCTGCCTTACAGAGCAGTTACAGGATGGCCAGGGCTACACAGAGAGACTCTGTCTCAACAAACAAACAAACAACAACCAAAACAGCAACAACCTACCAATCATACACAAAGAAAAAAAAAAAAACTTGTGTCAAGCCAGGTGTGATGGTACAATGCCATTAATCCCAGCACTCAGAAAGCAGAGGCAGGAGGATCTCTGTGAGTTCAAGGTCAGCCTGGTCTACATACATATCAAGTATCAGTACAGTAGGTCTCCTGGGCACTGGTGACCCACAGTAGGTCCCCTGGGCACTGGTGGCCCACAGTGGGTCCCCTGGACACTGGTGGCCCACAGTGGGTCCCCTGGGCACTGTTGACCTACAGTGGTTCCCGGCTCAGTCCTCACCTCCAGCCCCTAAGGAGGCTTTCCCTTGATGGCCGTTCCTGCCTCCATCAGAAGTAGCAGGAATACCAGAAATATCAGAAGTACCAGAGAGGTACAGCCACCAGTCCAGGGTGGTCCAGCCAATATACAGCTCAGAACAGAACCCTTTCAATGGAGAGAGGACAATGTGGGGTAAACATGAGAGGCCCTGAGGCCGGGAACAAAGCTGACATACAGAGGGTTGTCATGCCACAGGAGTAGCCAGCGACTCTGCCCATATTTCAATTTGGTCAGCACATATATTTTCACAGTACCTCCTGCAGAGGGCGCTGTTCTAACCAGCTCAAACACATACTTCCTAGATGCTCACAGGTCCTGTGGGCTAGACACTGTGCGTGCAGAGAGGTTTCAGAGCACTCAGCAGAAGGTGTGACCTGGTGTCCACCAGGTGCCCCCACTGATCCCTGGGAGGGCTTCAGACTCCATGATCATGCCCTAAAAAGCCTTGGCATGCCCCAACATGACACACCATGGCCCACCTGAAAGCTGCCTTGCCCAGGCCCGTCTTGACAAGAGAGGTCAGCCAGAGCCTGCTGGCATCCTAGGGGACGCTGACTAAAAACACTGTCCATCCACTTGCGGTCTGTGGGTCCCAGGAGACAGCTGCTGCCACTTGAGTGACCTAAATTGTTGGGGAAGCTTCCTGGCACAGAGGAAGGGTCTCTGACTGGACACCGTGTCCTGTTTCTTAGTCTGCCTCTGGCAGGCCACTTCCCTTGGGACCCCAGTTTCCCTGGCGGTGAGGTGAGGACAGCACAGCTAAGACTGAATTCTTTTTCTTTTCCTTGGCTTTATCTTTCTCTTTAAAACGTTGGTTACATTGTATGTACCTAGCCAGTGGGCTTTATTGAACTGGCACTGGTGTGCCGGGCATGTGTATTGAGGTTAGAGTAGGCATACAGTCCCATCTACCATTTGGATCCTAACTGAACCCAGACCATCAGGCTTGGCAGCAAGCTCCTTTGCCCACTGAGTCAGCCCAACTCCTCCCCCCCCCCTTTTTTGGTGGCGGTACTGGGATCTTTTTTGGTGGCGGTACTGGGAATTGAATTTAGGTCTTCACACATGCTAAGCATGTTACTACTGTGCTACGTTCTCTGCCTCCCGTCTACGTGTATGTGCACGTTTATCTGTGTGCAGGTGCGTGTGGAGGTCAGAGGTCAGTATCAAGTGTCTTTTCAATCACTCTCCACCTTACTTTTGAGACGCCTTCAGGAGCTCACTGATTCAGCTAGGAGGGCCAGTCAGGGAACCCCAGAGATCCTCCTCCTCCAACCACTGAGACTGCAGAGGCACGCCTCTACACCTGCCCTTATCCGTGGGTTCTGGGCCCTGAACGCAGGTCCTCATGCATACATTACCAACTGAGCTATCTCTTCAGTCCCTCCTCCCTTCTCCCCCTCCCTCCTTCCCTGAGGCTCTGGGGACAGGGCTCTCTGACACTAAAAACACCTCATATCACTGGGCTCCATCCCAGCCCCAAATTTAAGTCTTGTTCAGGACACTGCTTGGCCAGATGAGACAGCCATGTCCCCAGTACACAGGCATGTCTCAAACAACAAAGGAAAGGTTCTGGTGCCTATAGATACCTGACTTGAGATGGCCTAGCTCCAAAACCTGTCTGCCAGCAGAAGTCAAGCCTTGCCCAGTTCTAAGTCATGAGGACCCTCAGAAGCCTAGGCTGTAAGCCCATTTTATAGGCCAACTAAAATGAGACCGATCAGTCCGACAACATGGTGGGGTGGAGGGTTATAGGGTGCCCCCCTCCTTCCTTCAGCTTTCAGCCCAGCCAGCCAGCTGCCAGCTGTCCAGCCCTTCAGGAAACTCTCAGCACTTCCGGCCAGGACCACCTCCAATAACACATCCCAGATGCCAAGACCACCCGCACAGTGAGAGGTGGGCCAACAAATGACAGCAGTGGCCCCCAGAAGTGTGGGTAGCCACACCATGCACCTATGTGGGCTCCATCCACCTGAGCCTGTCCCCAGATGCAGGGGACTGTCCAAGGACAGGCATGTGAGTGTCTAGCCTGCACCCAAGAGTCCTCCAGCCACACTGGTCTCTCCCATCCCCCACCCACTTGGAAACCACAAGCCCTTTTCTGGAGCCCAGGGTCACTGACCTAAATGGCTACTGCTAGGAGGCTGGACAACAAGCTGTGTTTTGTTTCCAAACAGAGGAGGAAGAGGCGGCTGCCGGCCTCCTGCTTCCACCCCATCCACCCAGGGAGCCCATGGGGCCTAAAAGGTCTCCATGACGACACGGAACCACCCCGGCCAGTCCCGCCAGTCACCACTGACACAGCCTCAAACCAAGTTGTTCCCTGTCTGTGCCTAACACACTTGCCAGGGTCCCCTGAGGACACCCAGATCTCCAAGTGGACATGTGTATGCTTTTCCTTTCCCATGGCCTGAGCTCATGTCTCCCTTGGCATGGGGTACAGATGGCACCATTTCTGTCCCTGAGTTGCTGAGGCCTGACTAAGTGTGCTAACAGGATGTCCATCAGAACTGCCCTAGAATTCTTTATCATCAACGTCATCGATACACATGACATGGAGAGTGACATGCCTGCTCCAGCACTCGTGTAGACACCAGAGAACAGCTTTGTGGAACTGGTTCTCACCTTCCACTTGTGTGTGTATTCTGAGGCTCAAACCCAGTTCACCAAGTTTGTACAGAAAGCACTTTTACACACTAAACCATCTCTCTGGCTCTGCAGTTCGTGTGTGGCTTTATTTATTTATGCTTTAAAGATTTAGTTATCTTATTTGTTTGTTTGGTTGGTTGGTTGGTTTGGTTTAGTTTGGTTTCTCAAGACATGGTTTCTCTGTGTAGTCCTGGCTGTCCTGGAACTCACTCTGTAGACCAGACTGTCCTCTAACTCTGATATCCTCCTGCCTCTGTCCTGGGATTAAAGATGTCTGGCCTTATTTTTATTTTCTGTGTATGAGTACTTCGAGTGCACATCTTTGTACCACACGTGTGCAGTGTTCTCGGAGGCCAGAAGAAGGCATTGGATCCTCTAGCACCGGAAAGATACATAGTTGTTAGTTGCCATGTGGGTGCTGGACACTGAACCCCAAGTTGAGCAGCCAATGTTTTTTTAACCAATGAGCCATCTCTCCAGCTCCTTTATTCATTTTGAGATGGGATTTCACATAGCCAGGAACGAACTCAAACTCCCTGTGTGGACAAGGATACCCCTGAACTCCAGATCCTGCAGTCTCCACCTCCCAAGGGCTAGGATTACAGGTGTAAACCATGCCTTGGAGTTCTGAGCCTACCAAGTGGGGTCTGACCACCCCTGCAGGAAGCCCTTCATGGCCAGCTTCCTGGACAGCATCAAGGCTCCAGCATCAAACTCCAAACTGCGTACCTACAGCAGGTACTTCAAAGCTCTTGTTTGAGCCAGGGCTGAGCTAGCCCAGGCTAGGTTCCCTAGGTAACTGTGCTAGATGGTTTTGATGACAGAAGGAAGAGTCATCTGGGAAGAGGAACTCAGTTGACAAAATCCCTCCATCAGATTGCCTGGAGGCAGGCCTGTGGGACATTTCCTTCATTAATGACTATGTGGTAGGTCATAGCCCATTGTGGACTGTATACACACACACACACACACACACACACACACACACCCTGAGTAGGTCGTCCTGGGTGCTATAAGAAATCAGACTGAGAATGTCATGGGCACAAGCCAGTCAGCTACATTCCTCCATGGCTTCTGCCTCAGTTCCTGCCTCCAGGTTCTTGCATTGAGTTCCTGCCTTGACTTCCCTCAATGACAATGTGAACTGAGAGAATAAGCTAAGTGCTTTCCTCCTGTGATGGTTTGAACAGGAATGGCCCCAACAGGCCCATATATCTGAATGCTTGGTCATTATGGAGTGGGCTACTTGACAGGGGTTAGGAAGTATGGCCTTGTTGGAGTAGGTGTGTCACTGGGCTTTAGACTTTCAAATGCTGAAGGCAGGCCCAGTGTCTCTCTTCCTGCTGCCTATGGATTCAGATGTAAAACTCCCAGCTCCTCCAGCACCATGTCTGCCTGCATGTCCTTTCCCCATGATGAGAATAGACTAAACCCCCGAACTGTAAGTCAGTCCCAATTAAATGCTTTCCGTTATAAGAGATGTGTGGTTATGGTGTCTCTTCATAGCAATAGAACACTGATTAAAACAGCTCCCCAAATTGCTTGTGGTCATGGTGTTTTATCGAAACAGACACCCCGAGTTAAGACAGTAGTCAAGGATGGCCTTGAACTTCTGATCTTCCTACCCCTACCTCCTGAGTGCTGTGATTACCAGCATATACCACCGTGCTACATTCTGGAAGCTGCTTTTGCTAAAAGCACTACTTCCTCACCTAGGTCCATGCATTGAATACAAGCAGGAGGCCCGGCACCTCCACCGTCATTCCTCGACCCTTTACTCTGAGCCAATCACCTGCTGACCTACACACACACATGATAATCAT